AAAAAAAAAAAAAAACATTTCTGGATATGTAATGAAACATTGCAGAAACTTATAAAATATTTTGTACCATAAAGAAGACATTACTTGTTTCAATGAATGACAGTAAAATGATCGTTTTATCTTAATAATAACATGAGCCACACGTGAGTGTGACAGAACCAAAAATCTCGCGTCAGAATTCTGATCACGCTAACGTGGGACATTAAAAAATGTCGCTTGTCCTTCAACTAGCAATATATTGCAAAGTGTCCAAAATTCATTGAAGAACTAAAATTCAATTAGACTTTCAATAGCCTACAGTTTTTTTTTTTTTTGTAAATATATTCAACATATATAACCGTTAAATATCTCCGTTCTTCGAAAGTAGGCGTTTTCAAAGATCCGCTCTCGTATATTCGTCCTTCAATTTATTTCATAACACCATGTCTTCCCTAATTTTATATTTAGCGTTGCTTTAACCATGTAGAGCGACGAAACATTTTTCATAAACACGATGTTGTGCAGACGCGCATTACGAGCGGCTTAAACCGTACTTCACTGCTCCAGTTTAGCTGAAAATTAGCAAACGTGAAAAGTAGTAAGTACATTGTACACAAGGTCGATTGGTTTTGCTACAACTGTGTCACTTCCAATTATTATCTGTTTCGTTTTTTACAATTTCAACACGCGGACGACGAAGCTACAAGAGAGAGGATACGATATGTAGGAGATCAGCTAATCATATAATTCTCGTAAATCATTAAAATGCGTTTTCCAGAATGTTTGAATTACAAAAAAAAAAAGAAGAAAAAAAAAGGAATTTAAAACGTCGCAAAACTTAAAAAGTAAATTTTCAAATCATCACCAATTAACGCAAACTTTTCCTCAGAGAACTTGAAATTAAGTGTACATTGTATTTTCCAAATCTTATATTTACACAGCCGTTGCGCCAATTTTTGTGTGTCTTAAGAACAACGCTATATCGATACATATTTGTACATAATAAATACGTAAAAAAAGTTATAACAAGTGCTCCGTCGTTTGAGGAGTCACGTGTTGTGAGATGCGTTGTGTGCCCTACGCGCATTTGAGATGCGCTCGAGCCATCAGTTACCTCTACGATAAAAGTTCCTGGGGGGGGGAATATTCTGATAGCAGAAAAAGCATGACGAACAAATGACGGTGTCAGAAGCGGTGTGATGGAATATAAATATAAATATATATATATATATATAGCTACACAATATAGAATTTAACAATGATACACAATTATTATATATGTATGTATATATATATACAGCTACATAACACACTATTTTTATATGCGAAATAAACAAATTATTCAAACTGAAACAACGATAATATATATGCGAATAATAAGCACCTATGACGATGATTTAATGAAAGTAGATGATGTGATGTAGAGACACAAGTGCGTTTCATATATATGTATATATATTTGTTAGTAATGCGTGAGAATCTTTATTACAAAGTGTCTATAGAAACTTTTGCGCGATAAAAAAAAAAAACAATAATCTCTCTCGACACGTTGTCACGTTTGCGAATTTGAACAATATTACAAAATTGTTATATGAAACACATAAGCTCTACGCATCAAAATTTTCTCGTTTTTCAGAGAAAATTCACGTAATCATTCCGCATTCACAATTGGAAGAACATTCCTGTTGAATTTCTCAGAAAAGCTAAATAATATAACGAAAAATTATATATAAATTAAAAAAGAAATAAAAAGAAAAATAAAAGGAATGTCGATCGATTACTCGTGCAATAAGTAAGTTACGACGTTAAAAAATGATCTAGGATTGTGTTGTGCGACTCACCGCATTTCTAAATGTTGTTCCAATTGTGTACTGTTCAATACGTTCATTGGTTTCGCTTTCTACTTTTTGGCTTTTCTAAAATATGATAAATGCAATATGATCGAATGCGATAGGATCGATGAAGTGGAGATTTCGTGTTCAAGGGGAGTGAGGGCGCATATCTCTCTCTCGAATTTACGCTTAAACGAAGAGAAGATGTGATCGTCCGTCACTCGAGAATGATAATGATGATGTACAATGTGTGTTCTCTAGCCAGGATTGGCTATCGCGTTTCGCAATTAAGTGAACTGATACATCAAAGTGCGTGATGAAGATCGTATATAGAAAATACATTTTTTTATTTTCTAGAAAGAAAAGTTAATGGGAAATATCAAGGATGAGAAGACAATGAGGGATGTTGAAAGAGTGAAGTAATGGAAGATGATGATGATGATGATGATGATGATGATGGTGGTGGTGATGATGATAACGCGTATATTTTTTATTGCTAGCAGAATATTCTCTATTCAGATTCATCTTCGAACGTGTTTGAAAGAGCGAAGTAAAATAATAATAATAATAATAATAAAACAGGCATCTTATATGTACACAAGAACGGTACGTCTTAATTCGATATGCTGCAAAACTTAACAATTTTTATCATATATAATAAGTGGTCACGTGATTTATCACTTATGAGTCAGTGTTAGAGATTTTCAAAATTATTAAGATACAAAAGAGAATATAAAATTTTCATTTGCCAACTGTGTGTAGAATTTTTCAGAATTTATTTGTTGCTCAAAAAGTTCAAAATTTTTCTCACATCATTGTCGTCTTCTTAAAATGTGTGTACGACATTACACACAATTATTAAACAGATACGATCTTCCTGGATCAATCAGATTACTTACTTTTTCTTGAGAGTGAAGAAACTACGCCGCTTAGTCTCGGCTTGTGTCGGAGCGGGCAGAGTGTGAGCTCTGGATGTGCCCGCACCTGATGTTCCTTGTGCCGCTTGATTTAACGCGGACACCCAGTCGTTCATTTCGGCATCGTCTTTGGCCTGGAACAGGAAGTCGGATCCGCTTTGCGATCTGTATAAGACAAAAATAGAGATAAAAATACATACAACATTTGTGTCGATCGCGCAAATATATTATTCAATCGAGGGGAAGAGAGTTTACTTACTTGACTCGGAAGACATGTTTCTTCTTAGTGTAATCACTCGCTACGGTAATAGTCGCGCCTCGCAGGTCGAGCGGTGCCTCTCCTTTGTACGGTTGATCGGGCGAAGCTTTGTACGACTTCTGATCTTTATATACATATAGATTCTGTCCACGTACGACCATGTAAACCTTGTCCCATGAGCGATTCGACGCCTTCTTCGTCGTGCTTTCCCACTCGTGCTTCCGGTGCAACGGTCCCTCGAACTCGTCGTCGCTGGGACTTCGTTGCTCTGCAAAAAGTTTTCGAGCGGATTATTATCTTCGATTTATATAAAAATTCTTTCTTTGCGATAGAAAAATTTTCTAAACAAAAGAACCCTCTCGGGTCGGTTTATTATTGCAAGCTCGTTTATGCGCTAGAAGAGCCAGTATCTGTGTATCCCTTGCTCCTTTGGACAAAATGTCACAGCTGCAAATAATCATGTCTTGTTATTACCGCATTGTTATCACAAAGGTTAGTAACATGCATTCGATGAGAGATCATCACACTCCGCCCCAACGCAAGATGCTTATTATTTTTCTTATAATTCTAATATCATCGTTTGATAATACGTTCAAAAGTTCAAGTTTAACAAATCAAATATACAACACACACGCGCACGCACACACACACACACATGTACAATTTTAAATAATCGTCTCAATGATTCGTTCCGTCGTTTGTTGTTAGTCAGGTCGCAATTTAGTTCCGAGAGTCCGCCTGTCGAAATATCGTGTCTCTCACGACGATCTCCTTCCAATCTGTATAGATGATGATGCAACTCGCTCGAAAGCGCACATACACTCGAAATGCGGGAATGTTAACTGTTAGTACAGTTAGAGAGATGGCTGTGATGCGAACACACAAAATTCCGACTCCGGTCCGGACGTACGTGGTGCAAACAAATTTATCGAAACAATTCGAATTTTTTGACACGTGGAGAATTCGAGTCGCAAGTTATAAAAATCACATCGCACATGTCGTCGTAATAATCGCACGTAATTTCCAACGAGTGGCAACGTCGTCGAATTATTTAGACGTCGAGATGAACCGTCCGTTTTTCTTTTCGCTGCAAGCATGTGGAAAAATAAGATAAAAAAAAGAAAAAAAAAAGTGAGCGAACAATTACAAACTTCGACGCGATCGGCGCGTCGTGCCGTACGTCGGTGGTGAACGCGAACGAATCAAAAACTAGTCTCTCGGTGTGGTTTCTCATTTCTTCACTTACCGGCAATGCTGCGCTCATCGTCACTCACACCACTGCGATCTAAACTCGGCGACTTGGCGGATTTTCTCCAACGGAAGCTTCTAAACGGCGATTTGCTGCGGCTTCGTTCCTTACGCCTTAAAGGACCAGACTCGGAACCGCTTCCTTTCGGAGCTTAACGATGTAAACGTAACACACATAACATTTATTAGCTACTTACTCTTTACGCGACACTTAGCTTTGTAGCAGAGAATTGTGATCACGGATAAACAATTTTTGTTTTTCTAATCGATCCTTCCATTTACACAACACGTTACACACACTCGCACTTCGTAACATGTTTTTTTTTTTTTTTTTTTTCCATGCCCTCTAACTACTTATGAAGAGAACGCACGAGGATCACCTTTGTCATGCAACATGCTCATGCAAGAACTTGAATTTATCGCGACGGAGAAATCGTCGACGCGTCATTTCGGTAAGAATAATTTCACTGTCTGCAAAATTTTTTTATATAATTTCTACAAAATAATCAAAATACTTGAAAAAAGCTCCAAGAGGTCAACGTTTTTTATTTGCCACCTCTCTCCAGATAGACTATAGTTTTTTTTTTTAAAGATATAGTTTTCATCAAACAGACTCGTCATTTATTTTCCGTGTACCACGCAGCCGCAGCTTTTGTATCGTGTGAAGCGATCCGACAACGAACTGTTGTTAATTATTATTATCTATATAAACGCGTAAAACACGGGAGGACGCGTGTGAAACGGGAGCGAAATCAGCGTGGCGCAAGATTTTATTACGCAATAACAAAACGTGAGAATATCGCAACGCGGTGTTAAAAAAAAAAAAACCCGACACGGTCGAGAGCGGTCAAAGATAAATTTACGTTCGCGAAATGGACTCTCGTCCTTCGTGTCCTTGCGCGGAAAGTTCGGAGAAGGAGACGCGCACGCCGCGGACGCATCTCGTGCCAATGGTGACGCAACCCGCTCCACCCTGGTCGGGTGCCGCGGTGATAAACGCGAAGATGCAGGAACTGTCGTCGCGAAGTTACGCGAAGAAATATCTGGTGCTTCTTTTCTACTCCTGCAACTTCTCGTTCGTGTGCCCAACCGAGATCATCCAGTTTAGCGATCGCATCGCCGATTTCCGAGCTCTCGGTAAGAATTTGAAAAACGCAATATAAAGAACGAGGAGAGAGATTTAAAAAGAAAAATTCCAATAATTCCATCTTTTAAAAAAAAAAATAAATAACAGAAGCGGAAGTGGTGGCCGTCTCGACGGACTCCAAGTACGCGCATTTCGCTTGGGTGATGACGCCGCGTAAACAAGGAGGTTTGGGCGAAATGAGAATTCCATTGCTCGCCGACAGAAATCACGAGATAGCGAGAGCCTACGGTGTGCTGAACGAAAAAGAAGGAACCGCTTACAGAGCTCTGTTCGTTATAGACAGACAACAGAACATACGTCAAGTTACGATAAACGACGAGAACTTGCCGCGGTCGGTGGACGAGGTTCTGCGATTGATAAAACTTTGCTGTTACGCGGACGAACACGGCAGTGTGTGCCCCTACGGACCGTTGCAGACCGTCGCGAGTTCTTCCGGGGACGACGAGTCGCGATACTTCGACACAACCTAATTTCGCACTCGCGAAACGTCCCTCTCTCTCTCTCTCTCTCGTCCCTCTTCGTAATTAAGTTTAAATTTTTTTAATTAATTTGTAATTGAATAAAATAAAATAATCGCGACGGCATTGCGTTGTACTTGTACGAACAAACACGTAGAACCAACGATATTAATAAATAAAATTGTTTCGATGAATTAATTATTACACAGATATAAAAACGTTGAGACACTTACTTGTCGGTGTGCGGGGACCGTACGGCGGAGTTTTGGCAGAAGTTGGCGAGACAGGAGGGATCCCTTCTCCTTCCCGGAAAGACAGTTGCCTAGGTTTTTGTGCATGCACTACGCCACACCAATCACAAAATCATGCTGTATTTATTACTTTTTTTTCAGATTTTGGTTACGCGCATTTACGTGATCACGCGCGCGATTGTTGTTATTCAAGACGGTTGTACACGAATTGTTGCTTCGCCAACAATGACCGTGTTCCAGCAGACCGAGCAGATCGGTGAGCGTTTGGTGATTCTTCGATATGATTGGTTTCTTCACACTTAAATCCAGCGAAGATCCAAAAACAAGATTCAATCGTATCAAAGAATCACTCAAGCGCGTTCACTGATCCGCTCAGTTTCTGCCGAACGTGGCCGATGTTTAACGCGCGACAGAGAGATTGAGAGAAAATTCACAATCGAAACTGAAAATTATCTGATTAGGATACAACCGTCCGAATATTCGCGCGAGAAAACACTCTACGTATCTATGTACAGAGTGTCAGAAAAATTGTGACAACAGTCCAAGCGTGAAGGTGAACGGAAGAGTCACTTACCATTTTTTTTTGTTTGAAAAATTCGCATTATTTATTCAGTGATTAATTAATTAAAGCAAATGAGAGCGCGTGAGAAACTATAGAAGTAAACGCGATTGTTTTTAGAATCATGAGATCTCAAGTCTCATTTCTCTTTACAACTGAAAATTACGCTTTATAAAGTCCACCATGACTTATCGGTTCGCTAATTAATTCGCTAATTAACAACCTAATAAATATTGCGAAATATGACAAATAACTTTTTTGTTCAGATTCAGAATCTGTTTACACACTTCGTGTCGGCATTTTTCGGACACTCTGTATGACAGACGCACACGCACATACATGACATAAAAAAAAAAAAACACAAATTCGTGCTTTTACATTCGAAACTAACGAGATCTTCGATTGCGCTTACCTTCTAAACAAGATACTTAAGCATCGTCTATTAGATCAATCGTACGGTGAAATGAGAGATGAGTACTCAAATGTACCTACTTAGTAGAGCGGCAGCATGAATGAAATGAGTTCCCAATCATGGATTAGCACACGGACTATATATATATATATATATATATACACACACACACACACACACACACACACACACAATTCGAATTTCGCTCGACGTCTCTTCTTGCGTGTTACTCCGGTTCGCTCGAGCGATTAATGTGCGAGTATTGTTACGAATCTGAGATATTTGATTAAAAAAACAAAAAAAAGAAGAAAAGAGTTACATCGTTCGCTAGATAAAAAGATTGCGATGCGTCAGGCGACACCTCGGGGTCGCGGAGTAACGGCCATCACCTGCTAGAGAGAGAAAAAAAAAGTGAACAGAAGCGAATAAACGGTGTGATTCGTGTGTGGGCGAGAGAGGCGATAGGTGCGACGTGTGTTGCTATAAATACCAGGGTAGCTGAAAGACGCAGATTTTTTACGGGGGTGTAATGCGCACTTGAGAATTGACTTAACGCTAACGTGAATTTCGATGTGTGTGGGCAAAGCTACGTCGTTAGATAACGGGTTGCGAGAAACACACACTCGCATCCCGTGGATGGGTTATATCCACCAGTCCGTCACCAGAGTTCGCGAAGCTATATGGAAAACTTATGTAATTAATTTGCATGTTAAGAATCCCCTCTCCTGGGTTTTTGAAACACTTTTACTGAGGTAGCAAGAATAAGTAACAAAAACTTCTTATACGATTTTTCTGATATACATGTGTGTAAGATATTTGACGATACACGCATTTTGCGAGCGTCAAAACACACTCACCTTCTTTGGGCTTGTCTTGAGGCTGCGGTGTACGTGTGGAAGCCTTGCGATGTGCCACTGCGATTCGTGCATTCCGTGCCGCATTTAGGGTGCAGTTTGAAGGACAGGAGACGGGAGAGAGAGAGAGAGAGACATATGGACGCGATCGAGGACACGAAGGATTTACGAATATGGATCGGAACGATCGAATATATAGGCGTAGACGGAGGGGGGGGAGAAGGCAAACATATAAACGTGCTGTTAGCAATGTCATGCTTTTTCAAACAAATACCGTATAAATTTTCGTAATTAGCCAGCCAGAATTATTTGCCAAATTTTACCGCGAGAATTCTATTATTGTCGTCGGAAATAACGAAGGAAGCAAGATACAAACCCGAGCTATCTTCGAGAATCTATCAATTTACGGGAAAAAAAAAAAAACTACCCTCGCAATCGCATTTAGTCACGCTAAATTCTCGAAAAAAGTTTACGCGTACAACAATTCCCCGTTAGAAAAAGCACTCGATTTATATATTATTTATCTCAGATAATGTGCGTATTAATTAAATGTATATATACCAATATCGGTTATTCAACATTATAGCATCTTCAAATGCAACGCAAGACTGTAAGTGAAATCGAAAGATGCGGATAAAGTCTCGTCAACGGTTTCCGATATATATTAGTATACACCCTAACAAGTAAATTATCAAGCGCAGATTTTGATTTACCGTGTCCTTCCTCTTCCGCGGCGCGTTCTCCACTTGTTGCTCCGTCAACGTCAGCTCTGTGGCAAACAAAAACATTTTAATATCATTAAATCCAGTGAGCAACACACACACACACACACACACAAGTCGCAAGTTCATCGTGAGACAAATTGCACAATTACCTTTCACTGGATGGTTCGTCCGGACTGGTAACGGGTGTTGCCTTAGCCAAACGCGCAGCCTCCGCCGCCGCCGCCTCTTCCTTCTTTCGTCTCTCTTCCTCCTCTCTTTCTTGCTCTCGTCGTTTTAATTCTTTCAACTCGAACTGCGCGAGGGAAAGAGAAACGAGGGAAAAATATTTGAATTATTTTTAAAAATAGCTCGTTCCCGTGGCAAAAGTATAATTTCAATATATATATATATATATAGTTGTCGAATTACTCACAGTAGTCAGTCGGTGCAAGGCACTAAACCTTTCTTCCTGCGCAGCTGCCGATTTCTCAAAAGCTTCGTGTTTCTTGATCAGATTTTCCACCTCGTCAATGGTATGCTGTAAAAAAAAAAAAAAAAACAAATTTGCAATGTTGCTTTTATTTCTCCGCCCGATTGAGAATCTCGGGTAGCAAAAAGATTGAGAGATTATTATACTCACGCCAAGTTCTTGGCTCATAAGATATGGTTCTTGAGCGATCAACCACGCCTCGGCAACCGCCGCGTCTCGAGCAAACTGATAGACCTCCAAAACTGCGACACGCAACAAACAAAAAAAGCAATTATTTGAGAAAAAATGCAACGGAAATTATAAATGATCAAATTCACTTTTATTTAAATGACAAAATTTATACAAAAAAACTTACTGAGTTGCAAATTCTCCCAACGTTCTTCCCATCGGTGCAAGAGCGCGTTTCTATGATCGGTTAAAGCTGCCAGTTTTTCTTTGATCTGCGCGCTAGCGTAATGATTTCTAGCCAGCAAATCTTTACCGAGATTGATACACGCCATCAGATTATCTTCTCTGGCGTCGATCTCCGCCTTCAAGCTCTGATGATTGTTCATCAGTAATTCGACACCTGCAACGTCGCGCGGTTTCTCGGACGTGTTCATCTGGCGAACAACGTCGTCCATCCAAATCATCAGATTTCTGACCATATTGAAGAATCTGAAGAGATCGCCAGTATCCTCCAACTTGGCTCGTCTGCCTTCGCATAGTGACTGCAGATTGTTCCACGCCGCCACGACTTCGGCCTCGCGATTGGTGATCTCACGTGCTTTATCGCCGGCGTAGCTCGCCTGCAGCTTGGCGGATTCCTCTTCGATTTGCGTCACCTGGGTTTGCAACGTCGACAAATCTTGAATGAAATTTGCGTGCTTACGTTGCAGAGCTGACACGGAACCGGCGTCCCGTCCAAGCTCGTCCGACATGGCGTTCTGTTTCTCCAAGATTCTGCTGAGAACATCCTTGCAGTCGTGGAAAAACTTGTGCAATTCGCGACTCGCCACCAACATCTGCGTGCGGGTCTCGATAAGTTCGAGCAGATCCTGCCAGACCTCGTTCAGACCGTCCTTCCACTCCGCGATGGTTGCCGCGTCGGAATGACCGGCGCTAATCAAGGAATCGGCGATGCCGTTCACAGCTTCCACCCGTTCGGAACCGATCGCTTCTGTATCGCGCGCGAACTCTTTGAATCTTTCCCAGAGCAGGGTCACGTGATCGTAATCTTGACCCAACTCGTGACTGCCGGCGACCAGTTCTCTCTCCTGAATCCATTGTTCCAGATCGTCGACTTCTCGATTCAGCATGAACAACTGAAGCGCCTCGTCCAGTTTGGCGCGTCGCTCGCCCGCTAAATCTTTCAATCCGGCGTAGAGTTTGTCGACTTGCGACTGCTTCACGGCGATCTGATCGGCCAACGGATGTTGATCGTTTATGAGTTGCCGGGCGGTCTCGCCGAGCTGGCGAATCGTGTCCGCGTAATCCTCGACCGCGTGTTCAAGTGACTCGTGTTTCTTCATCAAGTTTTGCGCGGATATCTCGTCCTTACCGCGATCCTCGACCATCATGTACAGTTCTTGCTCGCTCATCCACGATTCGGCCTCGGTGGCGTCGAAGAAGTACTGCTGCGCCTTCTCGTTCTGCAACAGGTGCTTGTTTCTATCGTCAACCGCGTCCTTCAGCTCGCGCCACTTCTCCGTCAACTCGGATATCAACTTTCGGAACTCGGGACTGTCTTCGTGACCCTCGTCGATCAATTTCTGTCCGTTATTGCAAACCAAATTGATTCTCGGCTCGTGATTCTCAATCTCGGTGCGTAACGACTGATTCTTCTTCTTCAACATGTGCACATTGAACAGCGAGGTTCCGTATTCGGTGCTGGTCGCCTGTGGCATCTTCTCCGCGATCCACAGTTTCTCGTCCTCGACGTCACGTCGGAACTGGAACGCTTCCTTCTTCTTCTCGAGATGCCGCTGACGATCGATTAGCGGCGCTTTGAGCTGAGCAAATCTCTGGGCGACCTTCTCCTTCTTGCACTTGATCTCTTCCATCTTGTCGTCGGGCACTGTGCGCTGCAAATGTTCCGCTTGTTTGTCCAGCTCGGTAACCTGTTTGGCTTTCACCGCCATTTGTGTCTCGATCATCTGTTGCTTCTGCATCAGTATATTCACGGACGCGAGATCGGAACCGGTATCTGTGCTCTCTATCTGTTTCTCCAGCTCGTTCATCCAAGAATCGATGTCGTCGCACGTCTGATGTATCAATACTTCACGATTGGCGTCGAACAATCGCTCGCCTTTGTCGTGAGTTGTAGTTTCCAAATCGACGAATTGTTCCGCGAGTTCGGCCACTTTTGGCTTGATGATCTCGGCTAGATCCGGTTTCTGTTGAATTAATTCGTCCGCGGCTTGCTGCAATTGTTGCAAACGATCTTTGTTGCTCGCGATCTCCGCCTCGAACGCCTGATGACGCGTCCATTTGCTGTGAATGGTCTTCGCGCTTCTGTAAGTCTCGTCCTGGGCGGTAATATGTTTCTCTTGCACCCATTCGCCAAGTTCCTCGCAATCCTGCAGGAACATCTGCAGCTGAAGCTGATCTTTGAGTTTCTCCATAAGTTGATTAGCCTTCTCACGATTAACTCGTCGACGTTCGTTTATATTCTCGGCCTTCTTCTTCACCTTATCGGCCGCGAAGTGTCCCTCATCGACCAAACGTCCGGCAAACTGCACGACCGAATTGATCTTCTCGTCGTTGGCGTCCATAGTGGTCATGAAGGCCTCGTGTCGCTTGATCATGTGTTCCGCTTGTTCGAAATTCGCCGGTGTCTCGTCCTTGGCGAGTATGTGCTCCTGTTGCGACAGCAACACTTCCGCCTGACGTGCATCGCGATCGAACACTTGTAGATTCAAAGAATTGGACAGTAAATTCTGACGATTTACCCACATCTGATGCAATTCCTCCCAGCCCATTTTGAGCGCGTTCAATCTCTCGCGCAAGAACATGTATTGCGTGTCGCCGTCCCCGGCTTCCGTTGTCAATCTCTCGCCGTATTCCATCATCTTCTGATAATCGTCGGTGTAATTGTCGATCTCCTCCTTGATATTCTGATGTTGCGTGAGCAATTTCTCGGCGTCGGCAAGACTGGTCGGCGTGTCCTCGCTTGCGACGTCGGTCTGCGTCTTCGTCAACCACGCCTGGAAGTGATCGAGATCGCGCAGGAACCGATGAAGGTCGCCAGCCTCCTCGAGCTTGGCGTCGCGCTCCTTCAGCATCTGCGTCAGTTGTTCCCAGATCAGATGAATCTGAGCGATTCTCTCGCGTATCACGGCCGCCTCCTCCGGATGTTCCTTCTGTATAACTTCCGCTTCTTTCTCGAGAGCGTCCAGTTTGGCCTGAATGGCCGCTAAATCGCGTTCCATTCCGCTCAGTCTGCGCTGCAACGTCATCACGCCGGTGAGATCCATTTCCAAACTGTCGGTTTGCTGCAGAATACGCTTCTTGTCCTCGATCCAAGACACGGTCTCGCGACACTCGATGTGGAACGTTTGCACACCGTGTGCGGAGTTGAGTTCCTCGCGCTTGTTTTCGGCTTTCTCGCGTAATTCGGCCCATTTCTGATTGAGGTTGTTCTGTCGCGCGATTATCTGTTCCGAGTTCGGATGTTCGACGTGTAGCAACTGACGAGCCAGTTGATTGACGACAGCGACACGGGACGCGTTCGCGTTCATCTCCTTCTCGAAACCGTTGTAACGGTGCTTCATGATCTCGACGTCTTCGATGTCCTTGACGGGCACCATCGTGTCCAGCATTCTGTTTTTCTCGCCAATCCATTGCTCGACTCCGTCAGTCTCGCTGAAAACTTTGTATAACGACAACGCGTCCAGCAATCGTTGCTTGCGTAATTTCGCCAGTTCAAGAAGCTCCTTGTATCTATTATCTATTGACGTCAGTCGCTCCAAGACCTCGGGCGATTTCGCGTCCCGCTCGTTCAGCGCGGTCGCCTGCTGATGAAGCTGATCGATAATTGTCGCGTAGTTTTTAAGTTCGTCCGTAACGTCCTTGTGTTTCTTCAATAAGGACTGCACGTTCGCCTCATCTCTACCGACGTCTTCCGACGAAACGAGTCGCAAAGTATCTAACATCCAGATATCAACGTCGTCAGCATCCGCGAAAAGTTGATGATAATCGACCGCTTCTTCGAGTCGCTTTCTTCTGAAAGCCGCCAGATCCAGCAGATGATTCCACATGGCGAGAATCTCCTGAAGTCTTTCTTGAATACGATCCGAGCCGAAGTGTTGTTGTCGAACTAGTTCATCGCCGACTCCGGCGACCGACATCAATTGCGGTTCGTGCGACTGTATCTCATTTTCTAGAGTCTTGTGCTTGGACAGAAGCAAATTGATGGTCGTAAGATCATGACCGATATCGGCCGTGGACACGATCTGTTCCTTCTCCTTTATCCAGTTCTCCTCATCGGCCATGTCCCAATAGAACTGCCAGAGCTTACGAGATTCCTCGAGCCTGGTACGACGCTCGATTGCCAACCGGACCAATTCGGCGTACGCGTTCTCCAATTGTTGAACGCGCTCGACGATAATGCCCGGGTCACAAGGTCGATAGCCTTCTCCCTGCTCTAGGAATCTCTGGCTGTGCTGAACGACAGCCTTAACTCTCTCACCGAGCACGTTGATATCCGCCTCGACAAGAGAGTGTTTCTGCAGCAAGTCCTCCACGCCCATCAAGTGCTTGCCGTAATCGTCCGTCAACAGTCGCATCTTGATCTCCTCCATATTGTCCAGAATGTACAACATCTCCTGGAAGTTCTGTTGCAACTGGAGTGACAGCTCCAGACGCATTCGTCTTGCGCGAAGCAATTCCAGAAGATAGTTCCACAATCGTAGCACATTGTCCTTGCGAGCGTTGATGCGCTCGATGTCGTGATAGTTTTCCGCTTCGAGTTCCTGGGAAACCGCCATAACGGCCTGTACGCGCTCTTCGTAAGCAAAGATATCGGTTTCTATAGCTTCGTGTTTCTTCGCAGCTGCTTCCACAGCGGCGAGATCGAAACCGAAATTATCCTGCGCCACCAATCGCTGATTCTCCGACAGCCACGTCTCGCGCATGCTTGCTTTTCGATTGAATCTGGCTGCCAACTGTTCCAATTTTTCCTGCCGAATCAATTCCTCGCGCAGCGCCAATTCTCGCTCGTGTTCAGCTTTCTCCAATCTTTCCCAGGCCTTGTTGATGTCGGATATCATCTTGCCCTCTTTGGGCGTGTACGGTTTTTGATTGTTCGCGCGCATCTTCGATTGAAGCGTGAACAGCAACACCTCGAGATTACCTTTTTCCACAAATTTCGGTGGTTTTTCTACCGTACGGTAATTCGAGAATTGCGACAGTTGCGATTGCACGCCTACCAGGGAATTTGCGAACCTGCGGTCACCGAGCGCCTCGATCGTAGCCTCGATCCATCGCAGCAGATCGCTGGTAAGACTCTCGTACTCGTGAATCATACGATCGTTCTCCATCGCGATGCCGACAACCTTGCCAATTCTCTTTCCCTGCACAGTTTCCTGTTTCATCTTCGAGAAGTAGTGATAATATGTAACGACATACGTAATGATGGACTTCTCGTCCGGATGATCGACGAATATGTCCTCGGCGTCCAGAAGCTTCGTGAGACCGAGCTTGTCCTCCGCGACGTTGAACGCGTTGTTGAGATTGTAGATCGCGTTCGACTTGGACAGTTTCTCGAATTGAATCAAATCCGGACGGTGTTTGTGTATTATAGCGTTGAACGCCAGACCGTCCCGCCACGAGGTTGTGAAATTTCTCACGTTCACGTTGTGATAACCCGCTGTCTTCATCTGACACCACAACAACAACGCGTCCTTGGCGGATTTTGTCTCCTGATTGTCCGTCTCCTCGATCGTTATGTCCTGAATCTGGAATCGTAGAATTATCGTCCAGATGAGACCGAGACTAAGACGCGGATTCCCGTCGACGATGTCGTGGGATCCCATGTTCTCCAGATGTACCCTCTGCTCGCGCAAAAACTGCAACGCCTTGTCCACGTTCTCCAAACAATGTATGCGCATCTTGCCCTTGGTCGGGCGTGGCAAACGTTCACCCGACAGAATCTCCAGGAGTCGTATCAGCATCTTGCCGTCCCGCAGATCGACGTAGAGATCGCCGATTCGGCACGAACATCGGACTAAGTGGGAGTTGACCCATTTCTGGAAAGTCTTCTTTTGCACTAATTCACGCTCACCTGGTGAAGAAGGTCATACGGAGGATAATCGAACGGTTGATTTTTTTTTTTTTTTTAAATAATTCAACAATCGACCGTTTTTTTATATTTAAATTCAACTACCAATAAAAAAATGAGTTTTAAATATTATTTGAATAATATTTTATATATATACCTCGAAGATCGAACACAATTTTATCATAGTAGTCCATTCTCAAACTAAACAATTTGCAACTCTAACGTTTTTCTTTTTTTTTATTATCGTAATCGCCCCCGGCTAATTAACATTGTTTTAATCGAGCAAAATTACGAGCTGACGTTCACATTTGCAGACGCGTGTAGTACTTCGGTAGTTTTTTGCACGTTGGTTATTTCACGACTACACGTATATATCTCGACTACACACAATCTAGTCCGACAAGCAACTGCTTGTAAGTGCTGAGTTATCAAATTCTTAAAGCGCGATTATCAAAAGGATGTGGTTGGTTGATAGCTTAATCGTACAATTTTCTAAACGATGGATTTATATCTCTATGTAATTTAAATTGTTATTAGAAATTAATGTGTCACAAATTATTATTACTTTTAAATTTGTATTTTATCACATTTCATGCGTGACCGTTGTTTCGAGCATGCACGAAACGGATTTTTGTCATAATTTGTTTTTATTAAAAATGTCATTACGCAATTGCGGTAAAAAAAAAAGAAAAAAAACTACAAGTAATACGCTAATGAGAGAGCGATATGATTCGCGAAATCGTTTCGTACCAGCGAGTGCCTTGATGCGTGAGCGCTCGAAAAGTCTCGAACTCGAGTTTCCCCCGTCGTATTCGTACTCGTCGACAATCTCCTGTTGTAGCGTGGGGTCCCAACCCCCGCGCACCACCGAGATGTCGGTCGTCATTTTGTCAATCGGACCAACAGCTCACTTCTGTTTAACCCTTAGAAAGGGTGCACCTGCAAACAATAACGTTATATCTTTTATCTTTTCAATCATCTTTAGCGGCTCGCAACAAAAAAAATTGCATCTTTTTTTTATAAACAAATTTCTAATTAAAACGCAAATTCTCCATTAGTTAGGAACACGATTCGAAAATCAATATGTTGCAATTTTACTCTGCGATTTTTACAGATCCGCAGGAAACACACACAGGGACCCGCATACACAGAATAAACGGGGACATAATCATCATAATTCTTCCTCGTTGCTACCACCCACGTATTGCGATGCGGCGAGCAAAACGGAGCCGTGCGGAAAAGCCGCACGTCTCTCTTGGCGAGAGCTACATACGGTCAAAGCATGTTGTCGCGCGTCGGTCAATCTTAACACGACAGATAAGAAAAACTGCCGAGGTAATCTTATCTATTTTTTTCATATACGCGATGCTTAATAATTAAGTAAACATAACAAGAAGAGTTCAGATAGATCAAATATTACGCAACGATATGTTCCGATAACAGGGTGGTGTTGCAGTGCGCGCACGCCCACGCCCACAAGATTTTTATTTCGTGTCTCTCCGCTGCTAAGGATCTTGGATTTATATGTTTTTCTCAATTTATCTCAGCGCGCAACAACGAACAACGACACCATAAATAAAATTTATTTGTAATTTGCGCGACCCCGATAATAATTTGCCTTCCAATTTTTCAACAGACGTGTTGAAACACGCTGCGTAACTTCACGCGCGAACCAAAAAAAAAACATTCTATCTTCGGTATCTGAAGATGACAAATATTGATAATCCACTTCGAAGAGAGTTGCATCAATTATTAACACGTACGTGATTTTATACAAATAAATCCAACGTCCAGATCGAATTTCCTTCTCGAAGGCACTCTCGCGATGTTAAAGCACAATTCACTCAATTCGACTCCCACACACGCGGCTTACGTAATGTGTTTCTTCGGTACAACACCGACGACGCGAGAAAAAAAAACGAGAAGATAAAACTTTTAATTTCTTTCTGTTCTACATTTTTTTTTGTTCGTATTTCTCTCTCTCTCTCCGCCAAAGTCAGTTCTCGCTTCTCCGTTGAGATCGTTGATTGACGGTTCGCGCTTCGGTTTTACGCTATATAAAGCATCGTAGCGCTATATAAAGCATCTTAATCATCCGAGAATCCGTGTCTTTTCCATTTTTGTTCCGATAAAATCGTCGGAACATTCTCCTCCCCTCTTCCCGTCGATTCGCGTTACCCGCCGCGTTAATTGCAATTGCCATGTTAACAGCCAAGGTCTCGCGGGTTCGCCGGATATCACACAAGAAGGTTGCGCGTACTGTTAACGTACGCGCCCATAGAGAAGAGCGAGAGAGAGAGAGAGAGAGAGATAGCGGTACGCTCTCTACGTGTGTTGTATATTCATTTAATAAACGCGGAGCCTACGCGCGTGGGAGACGCGCCGCCGCCTCGCTCACCATATGATTACATCACGCGAATGATGTCACATACGCGAAATACACACACGTCGCGCCATCGGGCCCCGCGCAGAGAGAGAGAGAGAGAGAGAGAGGCGCGCGCGGTAACTTAACGGGAAGGTAAATATTCGCGCCGAGAGAGACACACACGAGAACGTAACGACGACGTTCACAGCGCGATGCACCGTCCTCGATCCGCAGAACGAATTAAGAAACAAAAGGGGAAACGGTCAGATTTTCGACTGACTTCTCCCCCTCCCCCCGCCCCCTTGAACATTAAATAACGTTGCAATTTATTTGGATTTTTCAACTATTTACTCGAAGATATAAACAGGAAAAATATCCCTTTGGAATGAAATTATTTAAAAAAAGCAAAAAAAAAACGCAGAAAAATAAAAATCTAATTAGATAATGATTTAATTTTTGTGCGATAGATTGAAAAAAAAAAAAAGAACAAATAAAGAGCTATAAATAGGAAGAGAAAATGGTTATTTTGCAGCTTACTGAAAGTCTGTTTTCTGGCACCGTTGTATATTTGCACGTTTTATAAAAAATAAATTTAACAACTGCATAAAGTATGTAAGAATAATTGTGATTTGTTTTACGTGTTTGTAGGATTTATCGTCAGCGAGATTCGATATCGGAAGAGCGCGAACGACACAATTTCTTTCGCAGTGGGAAATTCAGTTCAATTTAGGCATAAATTTCGTCTAATTTACGAGAGGATTTCGTTCTCTCGACTGTGTGTGTGTTTACTGATTATTACTACTGATAAAACGCGGGGTTACAAGACGCGCGCGGCTGCAGCTGCAGCTGCGCGCGATTACGGTAACACTTTTTTTTTTTTTTTTTTTTTGTAGCGCACCAACTGTCACGCGTTATAAATGCGGCACATGTCGCGCACGTTCGACGCGCGCGCAAGAATTCAAGGAAAACCGCAGTAAACCGATATACCGAGTGTTTAATAATGAATCCGAAGAGATCTCGGCGAGAGAGAGAGAGAGAGAGAGAAATAACTCGCGCATAACTCGGGACAGGCAAAAGCAAGTCTGTCCCGCATAGCGTCACAATCTCAAGTAAAAGAACTCTAATAAAGTGCGCTCTCTCTCTCTGTGCTTGTGTGCGCGGCGATCGTAATTTTCAGAAGCAGCGTCATCGACATTCTCGAACCATTACCTCAAGCCTCATCCGAGAACTCGTCGTTACGTGTGCCGCTGTTTTATTTGAAAAATTTTTAAAGAGTTTGTTCATTAACGAAAAATCAAATAAAAAACCTGATTTTTCACGATTCCGAATTAAAACAATTTTGAAAATTAATTTCGGTTGTTTGCAAAAAAATTCGTGTTATATTTGCAAAACTCGTTTTTTGCTCGTAGAATTGTTTGCGGTGAAATTTATTAATTTTTTCTTTTTTTTTCTCAACTCTCTTTCGCTGATGACATCAGTCCCCCGTCCGTTGACGTTCGGATGCGGATCGATTATTATGTTTGGCGATAAAAAAATCGATGATGCGGCATCGAAAACCCGAAGAAACGCGGGCATGAATGACATTCTTAAATGTCTGGACAGTCACTTACGATGAATTAAGAGCAATTACGCGAGAGCGCTGTCATACTTAATGGCCGTTATAGTGAGAACGGTGCAGGATTAATGCCTTCGTGTTCTAGTGGGCGGAGTGAAATGAATCACAAAGTGAATGACACGATAATCGAGGAAGGTTAAGTTTACCCGACGACACTTTCTAATTTTAATAAAACGCTCAAGAGCGAAACACGGTGCGACATCAATTATGTTCTATTTTATTTTAGTTTTCTTTTTTATTTATGTTTTTCCTCTTGCCTTTACGTGGCGTGTATTTGTGTCGTTAGATTCGTGTTCGCACGTTCCGACACCAAAAAGCAACATTTTTAAAGGGAGAGTATCGATCGCGCGCGTTCCTGTCCTTTTTTTTTTTTATGTTTCTCCCATTACGAGGACGAAAATAAATTTATGAATATATAAATCGCGCGTGTGAGTAAAGTTTGCAAAACGAGAAAAATAGAGTCGAGCTGCATTTTTTTCGGAACAAAAGCTTTTGTGTGCGACGTGATTTCCCGAACCGACCGATGAAGGAAAACAAGTGTAATTCTTTCGCAACATGTCATTCCACACGATTTCGTTCGTCAAATGCCGTTTCGTGCTGTTAAATCGACGATTAAAAGCCAATTTTTAAAACAGACGGGATTATTAACATCAGCTTAATTTCACATTAAGATGTCGGAATCGTAAGTGCGGAAAAGAACGCGAGCATCCGATACAGTTCGTGCGTTTTTAAACAACTGCTTTTTTTTTTAAATCGAGATTACGACCGAGTGTATTAAAAGCTCCTCTGATGCGAAAATGGGAAAACAAGGAGCTCGTTGTGCATCGGAACGAAGAGAACAAACCCGGTCTCTATATATGTGTTGCGTGATTCTTTCGCGCGCCGCCTCAACGCTCGTGGAAGCAAGGAACTCTGTTTTTTTTTTGTTTTTTTTTTTTTAAATCAAGCCGCGGAGAGGAAATCCTCTCTTCGTTATGCGAGTAAATAAAGACGAAATGAGATATGTATATACGAGAAGCAACATAATTAATTTAAAAGCAACCAGAGAGCTGTTAAAAAAGTACATCTATGTAAACAATGCAATATTTAATATTAATAACGGCTCGATGAAACAAAATTATAAAACAAAAAACCATAGAGCCTGTGGTCCAGGTTGAAGGTGGACCACAGGCTCTATGGTTTTTTGTTTTACAATACACACACAATATTGTTGTACAAACACAATAAAATAACGCAATAAAATTGTTGTATGAAATTGACAAAAGTATTTGATAATTTTTTATAAATAACCAATTCACAGAGCGTTCGTCATCGTGATGCAATAATAAGCTCTTGTGAAAAGTTACTTTTTCCTCTCTTTCAAAACTCGTTTCGCGAAACTTCACAAAGAATATTTACAAAGTGTCACGGACCCGAACGGATAATATTTTCGCCGTTAAGCGGCAAGCGGTGCGGCAAAATCGCGCGACCAAGCGTGCGACTTCTTCTCCGAGCGTCCATCTTCACAACTCGTTTCGTTTCCGAGACCGAGAGAGAGAGAGAGAGAGAGAAGAAGAAATTCGCGTCGTCTGATGATCTTCGCGTAAATTAAGTCGTGTGCTCAAAACGGCGCGCGTTTGCACCTCTAATCTGTCTTTTGACAGTGAAAGACTCGTTTCATGGTAAAGCGAACAACCGCGCGCAACACCGGCGAAAGGTAAGATGAACACGACACACACACACACACACATACACACGAACGACCAGATTATTGATTTTCCACCAGAGTCACCGCGGCGCCGGTTTCCACGGTATATACCCAAGAACACCTGCACGAACCCTCCGCGCGACGAGCTAATACGTACCTGCATTTTTTAACCTTCAACCTTGCGAGGAACGGAAGAATTTTGTCACGTAAGCTCTTTTTTACATTTTAGAGCTTTAACCGCCGCGCAGCCGACGTTGTGTGTCGTTGAAAAA